CATACCTGAAATATGGAAAATATTATTACCAATCAAATCAAGAGAAAAACAATGGAACTATATAAATGAATTTAGGAAATCGTGTGATTACCTTGATATGATTATGAGCAATAAATTGTGCTCGAAACGTCATCAGTAATCATTACTGTATAACACTGTGAGACTTTATCAAAACAAAATTTACCCATAATGGAATTAAACTCTACCATAGTGCACAAGTTTTATTCTTATATTAACTCCAATTATGGATAAAATTTTATCTTGATAAAGTCTCACACAGTGTGGTGTTATACAATAATATTAACTGATGACCGCGTTTCGAGCACGATTCATTAATGCTCAGCTTAATCACACAACTTTCTAAATTCAACTATATGATTCCACTATTTCTCATCTCTTGATTTAACTGGTGGGAATATTTTCCAGATATCTCGTATGAATGATGAGTCATTCCTTTTGTACGTATTGGGTGTCGGTTATTCTATGAACAAAGATTCAGTAGTCAACCTCTCTCTCTCTCTCCACCTACCTATATTCCTTCTTTTAAAACTCTAATCCTCCCCCACCATACTGTGTGGTTGTATGTTAATGCATACTTGCAGTGCAATGCAGTGCTGAGTTTTTTTCTAAATTACTCATCTCTCTTCGTGGCATCAATCATTTTAACCTGACCTAAATTTTTATCTTCCGACAATCTGACTACTCGTCATCTACTAGTATGATCTACGTAGTTGATCTAACTCACTCACAGTCATTGCAAGGTATTTTGTAAATTATATTATTTTGTATAATTGGGTCAACCGACAGGGTTCTTTAACCTACAGAGCTTGTTTTTCCTGAGTGAGTGAGTGAGTTTTCAGGTTTAAACGCCACCACCATATAATTCCTTTATTAAGAATCCTACTTAGGTAGGTTCTCAGATATACAACTTTATTATCGTGAAACTATTACAGATGCCTTACATTCTTTCTGATTCATGTTATCATTATTCAAGTATTGCTTTGTAGAGATTTGATTGCTTGGTTACAGGATTTCATCATCGTGAGCTGACGTCGGTTAGAGAACCATTGGAAAACCAGCAACAGGTAGTAAGTACTGCACAGACAGCTGTTTCGTCCTAGCTTAGAATGCAACAGCAGTATGCACCTACCCACCACAGCCGGTTCGAATCCAGGACCTTCTGATTATAAGGCAAGCGAGCTCGTAGACCATTAGGCCACTGGGACCTGACCTAATGGACAGTCCATGAATTAAAACTTCTGCAACCACTAGGCAATGTATTCGGCGAGTATTTGGCCTCACCTGCCGACCTGCTGCTGAACGCTACTGGTCACAACTTCTCACTAGAACCACCCAGGTATGGCCAATCGCTAATGAGCATCTCACTGATATTCAAATATTGGTGGTTAAGTCAACATTCAGACATCTATAAAACGGATTGGTGAGTAATAGAGAGGTTTCGCGTGCGTTTCGCATTGTGAGGGCGACAGATTCTAGAACATAGGAATTCCTACCGGCGTCCAACAGTCATTATATTTCTTGACCTAAAGGCAGCATTCGACACTGTCGATTGAGATGTTCTCTGGAGATGCTTGGCTATAAAGGGAATTCCGAGAAAATATATTGCACTGATAAAGGCACTCTACTCGTACTCATACAGCCAGGTGAGGGCTTACGGCGAGCTGTCATCTGAACTGGTGACAACCAGTGGTGTCCATCAAGGGTGCTCATTATCCCCTTTTCTATTCAACTTCATCATAGATGTGTTAATGGACTTAACCCTTAGTGACTTCAGCGACTCAGGGATTGACTTCCTACCAGGGAATAATCTCGTTGACTTGGAATATGCAGACGATTTAGTCCTTCTAGGCGAAGACGCTGACAAAATGCAGTCTTCTAAACACCTTGAGCTGAAATCTACGAATGTTTGACATGCAATTCGCTCCCACCAAATGCAAGACGATGTTACAGGACTGGACTACACTGACGCCTAGTTTAAAAATAGGAAGTGAAGTGGTAGAGCATGTTGACCGATTCACTTATTTGGGAAGTACCATCAGCCAGTCCCAACGGGTTGATCTCTGACGAAATCTCAGCACGAATACAGGGGGGTTCTTTCGCATTTGCCAGTTTACGCTGACTCTGGCGTAGACGAGATATTCGACTATCGACCAAAGGGCGGGTGTACTGCTCATCAGTCCGCTCCGTCCTCCTGTATGGTTGTGAGACCTGGCCACTGAGAGTGAAATACATGAAAAGATTAGCTGTCTTTGATCATAGGTGCCTGCGCTCTATTTCCCGTGTAAAGTGGCATAATAAGGTGAGCAACATTGAGGTTAGGCGTCGAGTACTAGGTAAACAGGGGAAATCAATCGACGAAGTCGTGAAGTTACAAAGACTGAGGTGGTTAAGACATGTGTTACGTATGCCAAGCCATCGCCTCCCTCGACCGACAGGCAATGTCAGTTGACATAGGGTCAAGCTGGAAAAGAACTAGCGGTGGTCAAACCAAAACATGGCCTCCTCATCAGTCAATGAAATCCACAACAGTTAGTCTAAGCCACGTAGGAAGGTGTAGACTTCCAGGCTGGGGTCCTCGGGACGGTAAAAATCAATGGTTGGAAACAGTTGGTGACATGGCTCAAAATCGTTCTCAGTGGCGCAGATGCATCCACTCCTTGTGACTTATGATCTCAAATGAAACTGTTTTTTTTTCTTTATTACTCCTCCTGTGTCTCACACCTCTGCTCACTGTTTTAATTATGCTTTTCTTGTACTTTCTTCTCTCTTGAACTTGAATATTACAATCACCTGTCGAGCTACACTGGCTGGAACGAATGTTCCTGGAAATTCAACCATATCAGTGTTGAGACTAAAATCAATTACCATCATCCTGTAAGTTGTCTACACATTGTAAGGTTGCGAGGGCGAATTTGTACTGCTGACCAATAGGGATGTAACAGCTGTGATATATTTCCAGCTTTTCCGTCCCCATCTCGAGAGAGGGGAAGGGTTAGAAAAAACTGTACGTCTTGACTTATCCTGTGACAGTCCATATCTGGGAGTAACTTTTTCACACAACTCCATACAGGCCATGTGCGACTGGCCTTATGCAGTTGTCCCGTAAGCTCTACGGTCGCGCGAAACTAATGCTTTTTCCATTTCAGTTGTTCAGAGAAGTCCACCTTCGTTCTTTTTACTTTCTCTGCAGGAAACGATCAAAAATTGTGTTAACGAGTAACTTGATGTGTTGAAGTGGATGACTAATTGTTACTATTTATGATACATAAAGCAGCCATCTTAGCCAATGAAAGCTAACAAAGTTATCAATTAACTTGTCCCACTTGTTTCGTTAAGTGAACTGCCTAACTGACTTGTGTCGAAGTAGAACTTAGCACAGATGTGCAGCAGTTCGAGTTGTCGCACTCCCTTCTTGTAGCACACTAAGTAAGAGAAGAGAGTAAACGAAGATTCAAAAGATGTAAAGATAATAAACAGGAATTCGGGGGGGGGTGGAGGGGGGAAAGAACAGTAGTACGAAAGATCAATATAATTTTATTGGGTACTATAAATCACAAAGAGTGAAAGCATCTGCGACAGCCATTGACAACAACGATTTTGAGCAATATTACCAATTGTCTCCACTCGTCATTGGTTTTTACCATCCTGAGGACCCCAACCAGCCATTCAGGCAGTTTACGCCTCCCTACATGGCTGGCTTAAATTAACTGTTGTGGATTTCATTGACTGATGAAGACATATTTTTGATTTAACCACCACTGGCTCTTTTCCATCTTGATCCATCCCATGTCAGCTAACATTGCCTGTCGGTCGAGAAAGGCGATCAATGTGCACCACATGTTCTAGCCAACTCAATCTGTGTAACTTCACAACCTGTCTGTGTCTGTTTTCGACATAGAACTTTGCACAAGTGTGCGGAAGTTCGAGTCGCCACACTCCGTGTAGCACGCGAAGCAAGATAAGAAAGTACAAGAAAAGCATAATTAAAACAGTGAGCAGAGGTGTGAGACACAGGAGGAGCAATAAAGAAAAAAAACAGTTTCATTTGAGATCATAAGTCACAAGGAGTGGATGCATCTGCGCCACTGAGAACGATTTTGAGCCATGTCACCAACTGTTTCCAACCATTGATTTTTACCGTCCCGAGGACCCCAGCCTGGAAGTCTGTCTGTCTGTCTGTCTGGATTCAACATAGAACTTGGCACCGAAGTGCAGCAGTTCGAGTTGCCACGTTCCAAATAGCACACAGAGGTAGACAAGAAGATGAGTGGAGAGAATTAATAGAGTTTGACAAATATAGGAGTGAAACAGAATGGGTTATGGTAGAAAGGAATATGAAAGATTACAGAGATTGAATACATCTGCGCCATTGACAACGATTTTGGAAGTCTACACCTTCCTACGTGGCTTAGACTAACTGTTGTGGATTTCATTGACTGATGAGGAGGCCATGTTTTGGTTTGACCACCGCTAGTTCTTTTCCAGCTTGACCCTATGTCAACTGACATTGCCTGTCGGTCGAGGGAGGCGATGGCTTGGCATACGTAACACATGTCTTAACCACCTCAGTCTTTGTAACTTCACGACTTCGTCGATTGATTTCCCCTGTTTACCTAGTACTCGACGCCTAACCTCAATGTTGCTCACCTTATTATGCCACTTTACACGGGAAATAGAGCGCAGGCACCTATCATCAAAGACAGCTAATCTTTTCATGTATTTCACTCTCAGTGGCCAGGTCTCACAGCCATAAAGGAGGACGGAGCGGACTGATGAGTAGTACACCCGCCCTTTGGTTGATAGTCGAACATCTCGTCTACACCACAGGAGCAGTTTCAGAATTCTTTTTATTTGACTTTTGACAGTTTTTTACATCTTCCTAATGACTTTTACTCAATATAAACCGAAAAAGGAACAATAATTAAAAGAAACAAAAGAAAAAATCTGCACCCGAAACAAAATTACATCAAACTACTTACTCCAATTATGTAAGGTGGATAAACATGAATTTGATATGGTGCACTTGACCATTTCATTTGATATACAGACTTCAATTCATGATAAGGTGAGATGACAACCAATGCATCATCTTGTTCAATGCCTAGAAATGTCTGTGCACCAGGCAACAAAGGCTGGTAATATGAATACTTGTGATTATTATTCACACAATTATTATTATTATTATCATTATTATTAGTATCGCTTTTATTTACAATCCCACTTGTTTCAAGCGAAGCATCAGGATGAATAATAAATGAGCTTGAATTACCACGTAATGTTGTATTGTTGAAATAGTAATTATGAGCATTATTATTATTATTGTTATTATTATTTTTATGTGATAGCCATGATTTATGATGATTATTAATGGTGTGTGGTGTCTCGTCCAAGTGTGTCGACGACATGTGTAGACAATGAGGTAGTGAGGTAACTATTGGCAGTTGATTTTTACCAGGGGTTGAAATAAACTGAATCTAAATTTTTAAAAAAACAATAATGGTAGGAATGATTAATTAGAATAAAAATTAAAAAAATAGTAATCCCGGTGGGTGTGTACTGCTGAAGAGTCCCAAACTAGGACGAAACGGCTGTCTAGTACTCCCAGGTAGTTTTCCAATGGTTCTCTAACCAATGTCAGCTCATGATGAAATTCTGTAAACCAATCAAATCCCTACAACCAAACACTTGAATAAAAATTAAAACAATTACTCCCTTCGATAAATTTGAATAAGGCACACTCAGAAGACAAATTTCGCGAGATGATGTCATCATTTCGTAGTTTCTTTACAACCGCTTTACAACTAACATGGTTAATATATGTGTAAAACTTGGGCACTGTGGTAGTAAGTAATTCCATATTAGTTTGTTTATTAGATGTATCACACAGTGTGTGAAACAGTATTATTTACTGGATGACGAGGTTTCGAACACAATTTAATGTTCATAATCATATCAATTTTGACCACACGACTTTGAAATTTGAGTATTATAGTTTTCTTTGTCTTCTCCTATTTGTCGTCGTTGAGGTAGTAGAATTTTTCAGATATCTGGGTGGACAGATGGTGAATCATTCCTATTACATATTACATTACATATTCTTATTACATGTTTGCAGTTGATTCGATAAACAAAGCTTGTGTTATCAATCTCTCCCTATACCCTGTGACATTAGATTTTAAAACTGTCATCCTATCCCATCCTATTGTATGGTTGTGTGCAACTGCATGTAGTAAGTGGTATAGGTGAACTATTCTCTAGGTTTCTTATCTTATTTGGGTCAACCAATCTAGATTTTGCTAGGTTTTTATGTTCGGCTAGTCTGACTACCCCTGTTCTACTAGTTTGACTAATGTATTTGACCTCACAATCATTGCATGGTATTAGATTCTACTACCATTACGACAAATAGGAGAAGACAAAGAAAACTACAAAACTAAAATTTCAAAGTCGTGTGATTACAACTGATATGATTATGAACAATAAATTGTGTTCGAAACCTCGTCATCCAGTAAATAATACTGTTTCACTCACTGTGTGATACATCTAATAAACAAACTAATATGGAACTAACACGCTTAACAATAATAAAATAAAGACCATGACAATTACTCAGTTAAATAAAGAAACAAAAGTGCATACTAATGACCAATCAATCGTATTTAGATAGGTCATGTAGTCAGCTCATAGTAGGCGAAGATTGAAGTCTATTGTTTTTTGGACACACAGTTTAGGCTGTATGTGATTAATCCCCCCAAAGTGCTCCCATCACCTTCAATAACCAACCTTGAATTAGAGTTATGTGATGAAATAATTGTGAAACAGTCATTAATATTGATTCTGTGACTTGACATTAATAAGTGTTTTGCAATGGATGATGATGCTGGATTTCTATTCAGATTAATCGCATTGGGATTTTCTATATGATTTAGTAACCATTTTGGAACATGTTCTTTTTGACCACGACATTGGAACATTCTGTTAGTTCTACCTATATAGGTGTCACCGCAACAACTGCAGGTGAACTTGTAGATACAGTTTGAGGGGAGTAGAGTGCACAGAATTTCGTCCTTTAATCGTAGGTACAGGGATTGAAAATGTTTGGCAAATGAGAAAAAGAGATTCGACATAGAATGTGCGTTTGACAGCTGACTGACCGAAGTGTCTTTGAGCTAACTGTCAACTGCATAATCTGGTCCCCCTTGAATGGTAACTTATCTACCTGCACTCTATCCCAACTATAGTTGGAAGCATTATCTTATGGACTGAAGTACAAAACATGTTCCTATGAAAATAAAATGTAAGTCCAATTACAGTATGAAAACCTATAGTATCAAATCTCTGATTTAACTCCTTCTAGTAAAGATAATTTGAACTGGTTTAAAGTTAAACTGGTGGACATTTCTCACCAATTTCTAAATGCTAGAAAAAACCAGAAAAATGGTTTTATCAAAAGAACACCACGCCGCAGTTAAGGAATTAATCGAAAAAAAATATTATTAATGTCAGGTCACAAAATCAATCAATATTAATGACTGTTTCACAATTATTTCATCACATAACTCTTATTCAAGGTTGGTTATTGAAGGTGATGGCGGAAGCCCTTTGGATTAATCATATACAGCCTAAACTGTGTGTACAAAGAGAACACAATAGACTTCAACCTTCGCCTACCATGAACTGACTACTTGACCTATTTAAATGTAATGATTGGTCATTAGTATGTACTTTTGTTTTTTACTTAACTGAGTAATTGTCATGATCTTTATTTTATTATTGTTAACCATGTTAGTTGTAGAGCGGTTGTAAAGAAACTACGAAAAGACCAGATATCATCTCGCGAAATTTGTCTTCTTAATACTTTATTAAAATAAAAATATTTAAAAATATCAAGCTAAAAAAGAGTGACAAAAAAAAACTAGTAGAAAACACAGCATCCAAAAGATGTTACAAATTACTTAAAATAATCCCAGCGTGTTTGAGAAAAAAATCAAAACAAGAACTGTTTTCTGAACGTTTTGCTCTGTGTAAGTCACAGCTTCTTCGGATTCTATTGATCCACATCAAATTATAGAGTCCAAAACTATACAAATGAGGTCAGGTCATGTGAAGGTCACTTGTTGATAGACAACTGTACCGATAGAAATATGTAAACAGTCATCATATATTTGTAATGACCAAAGTCAAATTGTGACAACAGAAGACAAGGGCCAGGAAACAGATCGTTTATTAAGGAAATCAACGCATATTTATAGATCTTCATGTACATTATTATAGATTATTGTTAGCAAGCAAACACAGTCTACTGATTGGTGGTTGTTCCTCACTGAACTTTAATCTTTCATCTGTTTGTGGCTGTTTCTTGAATGTCAGATCATCTATCTGCTAATTGTATTCGCTTACGCAAAGTCTTCTGTGATTGGTTGTTGAATCAGTCTTTGTTCTTGTTATTTTTCTCACGACCAGTATTGGGGACGTAAACATTGACGTAAATTACTGTCTACCAATTTGGCTAGCAGGCAACTCTCACCTCACTATGTTGAATTATTACCTAGATGACCTCCATTGTTGATAACAAGAATACAGGCTTTTTGCCGAGATAACCAGTGTTATAGGTGAGTGACACGACTGACCACCACGCATCAATAGTTTTTACAAATATAGTCAAATGTTAGTTAGTGTCATTTTATTTTATTATTGTAATATTAGACAGAAAAGTATCATTGAACATTTTCGCCTACCTACACACACTGAATAGTATATTTGATGTCTACACATTTTAAAACCAGCACACATACACACACCATGACATCTAATTACGCATGCACAAACATACACACACATTGTTCACAATCAGTAGTAACTATGACTCCATCAATTCGATATCAGCCGAAAACTATTTAAATAGTAGGACTATGATTGGATAAGACGATTGCAGACAAGAGATAAAATCTCGAATTAAATTCACAGCTAGACAGTTTGATGTGAACATGGTTTCCTTGATATCACAATGTATGATTAAGCAACCAGCGGAGCATTGGTAGAATCTTTACCAGCAAGCAACGTAAGTTCAACTCACCGTCAATGCACTCCGAAACCCTGCCAAGAGGGTAGTAATGCCAGGAAACAGTTCAGGTCGGACATGAGGCTAACACCGCCCTCCATCACCACCACCCTGTAAGTACACCACACTGCTACTAAAGCTTCAAAAGCATATGATTCTTACACTCTAATCGGAACGTATGTTCCGTTTGATACTACTACCAAATGATATAAGCAGTTGCTCAACTCATATCTCCTGCTATTCAGACAGAGGTGATCTGAACACCGAAACGGCCATTTGGTTCACTCGGACGACACAGATTAGTAGTGTACCCAGTTTGACTCACCTTAAGGAGTGACGAATCAGTTCAAACCATGCGAATTCTGACGCCACGAAACCTCTCTTTTTTAAATGTACTTTTTGTAAATTTAAATTATGGTCATTTCCTTGAATAACTAACTCCTTGAAAGAAACACTTGAATTACTTATTTCAATAGCGCTGAGACGTCACCTAGTTCAAATGTTGATCGAAATTCATATTGTGGCGTGAGCTACTGATAAGATTTGTCAGTAATATATATAAAAATATATAAAGAGATATTCATCGGCGTAAAAACATTAAATACCAGGGAAAACAATAGATCTGACGTTAGTCAGAGAAGGCAAATATTTCAGCATTGCGGAGATGCCTGGGAGACGCAAAAGGAACACAAAGAAACACAATACACTGAAGATCTGTGCGCAAATGGTGATTTGAAGATAGGATGCACATCAATTCACTATATAGAGATACCGAATTCCAAACAAAACATTCCTTTACCAACCAAGTCTCTCATCTTCTAACGTTACAATATCAGTCAGCTTTAACTGAATAATACCTCCTTGTAATTAGGCAATAGATCAAGAAATTCAACCTTCCGTGCGTCTGAAATAAGTCAATGTGACAAAATTCTTCATATGTTTTATTATTAGGTAATTCTTAATTCTGTTGTACTTACGCCAAAAGAAAGTGTTTCAAGAAATATGAAAACAGCTAATGGAAATGTCCACAGTATGATCAGTAGATATCGGTAGATATACAGAGAATCCAGTATGTAGAGTGGAATAGCCTAGACATCCTAAAGCAGAAGGCCCTAAGATTGAAAAAGAACACACATAATTCACCCGTTGACATTGCCAGTTACAACATTCTTCATTTTATTCCTTTACGCTCCCAGTGGAACATAGGGCTTCAAGCTACTCTGTGTTAATGCATGAAGTTCAATTTCTGAGTTCTTTTCTAAATTACTTATCTTTTTAGGACCAATCATTCTAACCCGAGCTAAATTCTTATGTTCCGACAATCTGACTACTCGCCATCTATTAGTTTGACCTATGTCGTTGACCTAACTCACAGTCATTGCAAGGTATTTTGTAAATTATTATTTTGTTTAATTGGGTCAACCGACAGAGTCCTTTAACCTGCAGAGCTTGTCCTTCCTTCCTTTCTTCCTGAGTTTGCAGGTTTGAATGCCACTACCCTATAATTCCTGCTTTATTAGTAACCTTATGTAAGGTGTCAGATGTCCCCTCCTTATTCATATGTCTAATCAATCTCATGTAAATAAATGAAACAAGAAAGCTGTGTGAGTGAGTGACTGGACATAATTATGAGGAGTAATAGTTTGTAGTCGAAACGTGGTCATCAGTAAATATCATTGTATGACACTGTGTGACTTTGTCAAAATAAATTTTATCCATAATGGAATTAAACACTTTTTCTTCACTTAAATACATTTAATCTTCACGCCATCCCAATAGGATTGGACTTTATATTTCCTACACAAAAGCGTAGACACTACTTAAGGAGGTTACATCGTTGTTTTAAGGGATCATTTATTGAGTCGTTTAATTAGGAATCTAGTCTGAAAGGTCGCAGGAAAACTCCACAAAGTGAATTGTAGCATTCGAAGGTTAGCAAAGTCTCTTTGCCGTATAGTGGGATTTAGACGCAGCATTATTTTCCCCACACAAACCCTCTGTATTTATCCTGCATTATTTAGTGAAACAGTGGCTTACTACTGGTGTATAAGCACTGAATTTGAAACCATGAGGTTACAGTTTTGAATTCTGCCCTCTACCCAACTACCTGCCAAGGCTTACCCAATAAGTAATAATCCTATGACTATTCAAACATCATTTTGTATATCCAACGATCACAAAGTTAAGGGTAAGCTTTATTCAAAATTATATAGTAATAATTATACAGATAAGGCAATAAGAAGACGTAATTTGTCTGAATCGTGAGATGTATTTGCGCAACACATCTCAAACAATTTGATCACACCCCACGGACTTGTCATAGGATTATATGAAATTAATGAGGTGTTGAGAGGGGAGAAAAATAGACCCAGGTCAAGTTAAAAGGACATAATCAAGTTGAAAATAACAATGAAAACCACTAAACCAAATGGAAGAGGTAATAGTACATCTCCTATGGCATCAAAACAAATTTACCAAAGAAGGTTTAATCTGAGGACGATTTGTTGCTTTGAACGCATAAAGGTGGTTTAAACTTTCTAATTGCCAGCTAGAGCTTCCACAAACTTTAAGATACGCTCTCGCCCAAACACGTTTTATAGATAAGTTTAAAAGATCTGTTAACGTCAATTTTATGTCCTCTCTCTATGATAAGTTTCGCAATAGAGGAGCTGCGTGTCCTGTTCTCACCATTAATGGGTTCTGAAGATTCCATTTGTTTCTGGAGCCATTTAGGAATATGCTCTGAAGCCAGCCATTACTTGCTGGCAGAGATCGATCCCTTCTATGTATGTGTGTCCACACGTACATTCAAATTGGTAAATACAGTGGGATGTGACATCATTTTTCGTATGTTCAAAGTGCTTAGACAGATACATTGTTTTTTACATTCTCTATTATTTCGATATTAGCTGCATCAAAAATCTTTTTAACAGCAGCGTTCAGTCTTTGTCTAGTTAAAAAGCTGCTATGATGCCCCATATAGGGTAGCTTGATGTACATGTCTTTCTTAGGGGCGAGTTGGAGAGTGGGTCTTGATGTTCTAACTTCTTTATATCTCCTGATGAACTTTTCTGGATAACTGTTATCAACTAGAGTTTGTGTCACACAAAATGTCAACTGTTTTAAGCAGAGGCACATTAGTGAATAACGAGTTTACATCAAAAGACTACATATTTTTATTCATAATATTAATATCATCAAGAAAATCAACCAAACATACTTACAGAATTGTGTTTTGACTGGATGCAATAGTTCTACTAACCATTTAGCAAGTTTATGCGTTGGGCATTTGCACATTGACAATATACGACGTAGAGGATTATTGGGTTTATGTATTTTTGACAAACCATACATATGCGGGAATTTACAATCTGATGGTTTTAAAGAGTCAAATTCACCTTAGCTTATATAACATTTACGCCATGAAGCTTCACTAGATTAGCTTTCACTGTGCCCTGCAATAACTGTAGAGGAGGGGAATAATTGTTTATCATTCCTAGACATATTTTTAAGTCGATGGCTTGATGGGTCAATGAAAAGATCTATTTATAGAAAACCTACCTGAACTGGACAGTATCTTAATTACCACAGTTTCTGCCCTCTTCGGTACAAAAGAGACTTAGTGAGTGGGGTGCCTCTTCTGTAGAATCCTACGAATATGCAATGAAGACACACTTGATGGAGAAGAAATACAGTTGACACAGACTCTGGTTGATAACAATTATCCAGACAAGTTCATCAGGAGATATAAAGTAGTCAGAACACCAAGACCCACTCTCCAACTCGCCCCTAAGGAAGACGAGTACATCAAGTTACCATATACGGGGCATCAAAGCAGCTTGCTAACTAGACAAAGACTGAACGCTGCTGTTAAAAAGACTTTTTATGCAGCTAATATCGAAATAATAGAGAATGTAAAGCCAATATATCTGCCTGAGCCCTTCGAACATGCGAAAAATTTGAATGTACGTGTGGACACGCATACATAGAAGGGAGGACTCATCGATCTCTGCCAGCAAGTAATGGCTGGCTTCAGAGCATATTCCTAAATGGCTCCAGAAACAAATGGAATCTTCAGAACCCATTAATGGTGAGAACAGGACACGCAGCTCCTCTATTGCGAAATTTATCATAGAGAGAGGACATAAAATTGACGTTAACAGATCTTTTAAACTTATCTATAAAACGTGTTTGGGCGAGAGCGTATCCTAAAGTTTTTAGAAGCCCTCCCTAGCTGGTAATTAGAAAGTTTAAACCACCTTTATGCGTTCAAAGCAACAAATCGTCCTCAGATTAAACCTTCTTTGGTAAATTTGTTTTGATGCCATAGGAGATGTACTATTACCTCTTCCATTTGGTTTAGTGGTTTTCATTGTTATTTTGAACTTGATTATGTCCTTTTGACTTGACCTGGGTCTATTTTTCTCCCCTCTCAACACCTCATTAATTTCATATAATCCTATGACAAGTCCGTGGGGTGTGATCAAAATGTTCGAGATGTGTTGCGCAAATACATCTCACGATTCAGACAAATCACGTCTTTTTATTGCTTTATCTAAATTGATAAAGGGAATAGTTGTTTTAAATAATAATAATAATAATAAGTAAACAAACAATTAACAAACATTTTAACATACCTCTCCATTAATAATATTGATTAGTAGATATTCACCTCTATGACCTGCAATAAGTTTTGATAATCCACAAAATGTAATTGATCGTATCACTTCGGGAAGAGTTAATTCACTTGGCCATAATGGAGTGATTGAATCATTTGCACCACCAGGTAATATAAATTCACGTGATTTCGGCTCCCATCTCCAAAAGTATAAATGACGTTTAACGATAACACAAATCCTTAACTCTAAAGTATTTGTTTCTGATGATTGACTGGCTTTTGTTTCACTTGAAATACTAATATTACTACTACTATCAAGAGATAATGATTGGGATACATCTTCTAACCTTGTGGAATCGACTGTTCGAATAAAAAAGATTATAAATTAGGATTAATGAATCATCTATTCAAAAGAGAACATTTTTTAACAACTTTAAATAACCAAAATGGATAGTAATAATGTGCACTTTTAGAAATTGGCTGTGAAACCTGGCCATTTAGAGTGGAAGACATGAAAAGACCGGCTAGCTGTCTTCGATCATAGGTGCCTGCGTTCTATTTCCCGTGTTAGGTTGTGGTATAATAAGGTGAGCAATATTGAGGTTAGGCCTCTGTCGAGTGCTAGGTGAGTTGGAGGGGAAATCAATCGACTGAGACGGTTAGGAAATGTGTTACGCAAGCCTAGCCATCCATCGCCTTCCTCGACCGACGAGCAATGTTAGCTGACATAGTGTCAGGCTGGAAAAGAGCTAGCGGCGGTCAAACCAAAACATGGCACCAGTCAATGAAATCCGCAACAGTTAGTTTAAGTCAGTCACGTAGGAATGTGTAGACTTCCTGGTTGGGGTCCTTGGGACGGTAAAACCAATGACGGCTGGAGACAATTGGTGACATGGCTCAGTGATCGTTCTCAATGGCTGGCGCAGTTATATGCATCCACTCCTTGTGACTTATAATACCCAATGAAACTATATTGTTCTTCGTTATTACTATTCCTTTGTCTCACCCCTCTGTTTACTGTCTCTATTATGCTTTTTTTCTAGTTTCTTCTCTTGCTTTTTGTGCTACAAGGATGGAGTGTGGCGACTTGAACTGCTGCACATCGGTGCAAAGTTCTATGTCGAAAACAGACAGACTTTTAAAAATTAACACCGACTTATAAATACTATTTGTAAAGTCCTATAGACTGAATATTGAATGGTCCGAGGTGTACTCCCACCCACATGCGGAGTCACCCAGATTGGTGCCCATTATGTGAACTTCGCCGAAAGAATTCAGTAAGTACCAAAACAAAGAACCTTCTCCACACGATAGATAGTGATTCTTCGATTGAAAGATGAAGTACGTACACTAGCCATTTCCAACTGTATCTACCAAATCAACTGCACTTTTAGTGGAGTGAGTTATATCGACCGTTGCTCTAGGAACTTGATTTTTTGTGCTTGAGAACATCTCGTAGTTTGGTTACGCAAAGGTGTAGTAAAAACCATTAACAGTTCGATATTAGACCACTTGGTCCAAACCGGCCACAAAGCCAGCCAGCATTGAAGAATCCTCCTCTATCGTCTACTGGGTGCCAAATAAATTGCCAAAAACATCCAGGTACTGCATGCTCCAAACAGCAGAGGCTATCGCGATTCGCATGAAATAAGCAGTACTTTGTGTGCAGAAGAAGCAAGTCCAGCCGCTACCACTGCCCTGGCCTTCAGTAGAGAGTATAAATTCATGAATTGGTATTATTAATATCTTTCCTAATTGTTCTGACATTCAGTTTATTGTTATGTTGATGCTATTGAACTGTAGTCCAGTTATATTATTATTATCATTGACTCAATGTTATTTAAACATTAATGAGGAGCAGGATATCGAAAAGAGTATTCTTTGTTCAGTAACCGTTCCTTTGAAAACTTTCTAGGGACCAATCAATGCATACATTATAGTCTAGCAGGAGGTCAATCGTTAGCCACCAATATACCTTAGTGATAACAACTCTCACCACATGACTGGATGATATAGGATCGAGTCTCTCAGGGGACAAGGTTGCAGAAAGACCTTACTATTGAGCGTGAGCAAGCACGATACTTAGATCCAAGTTTCCTGCCAAACAGCCTCCAACTATTGAACATCAATAGAGAGATAGATTTATCACGAAACCTGAAAATTACAGGTTAAACTACAAGAAATCAGCGATTCTGCACAGTGTCGTGAAAAATAAATAAAGACGCAGGAGTGATATATAACTGTCTCGTTCACTGTGTTATTCAACAGTTGCATCGATTGAGATGACTAGAATGTGTTACACATAGTGAGCCACAATCTTTCCAATATGAGCAATTCTTATCTGATACATGGTTACTCTAGAAAGGACTTAAGCGTGATCACAACAAGACTTGGTATTAACAAATCATGCGGTGTTTGACTGATGCTTTGAGCAATGTAAGGAGGTAAAGGACTGACCGGTTGGAATCCTCCAGATGCTAAGAATCAATTTAGTTAGTGATACGGCTTAAAACCATTCACTTCATGTGACCTCACGCCTCCATTAAATCGCTATAACTCATTTCATTAGTACCTTTTCCTCTACCTTTATATGCCTTTATGAATCATGTCAACTAGGACTGCTCTACATGTTTATGCAAAGTTCTACGCGGATAATTCAGATTAATTTAACTATTTTCAACCTACACGCGTATTAACTTACGTAAACATCTAAAAAATAGACGGTGAAATTTTAATTTTAACTAACAGACTAACCGACTTACGGTGGAGCACATGTTTCTCACATTTCAGTTTGTGATGGCTATCATCACTCGAATTGAAGTCTTGTGCAATTCTTCCTATTCGGAACTCGTTAACTAGATGTGCTTGCATCTCCAGTGAGTAAGTGATGGTGTTCCAGAGGGACTCAAAGCCAGCAGTCATCATCCCTAACGTTAAAGTCTTATTCAGTAGCCATTGGGTCACGAGAGCCAATTCTTCTGCGAACCGGATTAATTTTTATTTGTTTTTACGAGTTTGATCATGGATTGATATCAGTTAGAGGACCAGTGAAAACCAGCGCTGGAGTACTGGATAGCTGTTTTGTCAGCCTAGTTTGGGAATCATCGGCAGTTCACATCCACTGCCAGGGGTCGAACCCAGGACCTTCCGGTTACAAGGCAAGCTAGCTCGTATACAATTCACCCACTAGGACCTGATTCCTCAATAGCCATCCCATGAATTCTAACTTCCACCAATTCGTGGTTTAGCGCGACCACCAACCAATGTTATGGGTAGGAAATCCATCCTCACACTTGTCTGGATGGACCTTACTGGTCACGACTTCTCACTAGAACTCCAGGAAACTCTGTCCTGTAGCAAGTCACTAGCGAGCGACAGATTAATTTTCTATAGTTTGGTTTGTAAGCATTAGTTATGTTTTTACGAGTTGATCAAGGATTGATATCAGTTAGAATTCATGGGATGGCCGTTGAGGAATCGGGTCCCAGTGACTGAATGGTATACGAGCCAGCTTGCCTTGTAACCGGAAGGGTTCGCCCCCTGGCAGTGAGTGCGAACTGCCGATGATTCCCAAGCACTAGGATGAAACAGCAGCTGTCCAGTACTCCAGTGCTGGTTTTCACCGGTCCTCTAACTGATAACAATCGATGGTGAAAGTCGTAAAAAAAACAAATCTAATCCTTATAAACCAACTCTTGATAATTTGTATTTGTCAGAGTTATTGGATTGACGTCCTCACTTAGTGTCTGATGACCTGTCGGCTCCTAATGCCATAGATCCGATGATGTCTTCACAATAAATATAATGCGACGAATTGAAAATAACCCCAACAAGTAAGACCTATTTATATCGGATGAAATCACAAAAATGTTAACAGTGTGGAAGAATCACGAAAACTCATTGTTGATTCGACAGTTGGCAACTTCCAACGTCTACATAAACTAAACAATATCTGATCAAATCTTTAAATCTTGCCATTTTTATTATTAGAACAAGACATATAAGCGAATAATATTGTTGTTTTCAATTAGATCTTCATCAGGCTTTACTTCAATTTACATAGATTTATATATAAAACGGGTGCATAGATCATATCTTCACTCTTCGAAAGATTCTAGAACAAAGACACACTTTTCGGCGTCCAACAATTGTCATATTTCTTGACTTGAAGGCGGCCTTCGACTCCGTGGATCGAAAGGTACTATGGCAATGTCTGACTGTGAAGGGAGTGACAAGAAAGTACATTGCACTAATCAAGGCACTCTATTCGAACTCACGCAGTCGTGTAAGGGCTTATGGGGAATTGTCAACTGAATTGGTAACAACCAGTGGTGTCTGACAGGGATGTCCACTTTCCCATTTCTGTTTAACTTCATCATAGATATGCTGATGGAAGTATCCTTAACTGAACGTAATGACTTAGGAATCGACTTGTTACCAGGGAATAGTCTTATGGACTTAGAATATGCAGATGACATAGTCCTGTTAGGGGAGGATGCTGACAAAATCCAGCAGAGTCTTCTGAACACCTTGAGCAGTAATCTTCGTATGTTTGGCATGCGATTCGCCCCTGTCTGTCTGTTTTCGACATAGAACTTTGCACAAATGTGCGGAAGTTCGAGTCGCCACACTCCGTGTAGTACGCGAAGCAAGAGAAGAAAGTACGAGAAAAGCATAATAGAAACAGCGAGCAGAGGTGTGAGACAAAGGAGGAGTAATAACGAAGAAGAAAACAGTTTCATTGGAGATCATAAGTCACAAGGAGTGGATGCATCTGCGCCACTGAGAACGATTTTGAGCCATGTCACCAATTGTTTCCAACCATAGATTTTTACCTATGGTTGGAAACAATTGGTGGATTCGCCCCTACAAAATGTAAGATGCTGCTACAGGACTGGACCACGTCAACTCCTAACTTAGTGATAGGGAGTGAAGTGATAGAACATGTTGACCACTTCACCTATTTGGGAAGTCGTATCACCACCAACGGACTGATTGGCGATGAAATCTCAGCACGGATCCGAAAAGCTCGAGCTGCTTTCGCTGACTTACACCATCTCTGGCGTAGGCGTGACATCTGGTTATCAACCAAGGGACGTGTGTACTGCTCAGCAGTTCGCTCTGTCCTTGTCTATGGCTCTGAAACATGGCCAATACGAGTTGAAGACATGAAAAGGTTGACTGCTTTCGATCATAGATGTCTGCGATCTCTGTCTCACGTTAGGTGCTATAATAAGGTAAGTAATTTTGACATTAGGTGTAGAGTGTTGGGCAAACAGGGGAAATCAATCGACGAGGCTATAAAGTTACATAGATTGAGATGGCTAGGTCACGTGATGCGCATGCCTAACCATCGCCTCCCCCGACGGGCATTGCTAGCTGATATAGGTGCAGGTTAGAAAAGAGCCAGTGGTGGCCAAACAAAAACATGGCCTCATCAATCCATGAAATCCTTGACAGTTAAACTGAGTCGGTCAGGTAGGGAGGTGCAGACTTCCGGGTTGGGGCCCTCGGGACTGACTCTAAGAATCAATGACTGGAGACAATAAGTGACATGGCTCAAAATCGTTGTCAATGGCCAGAGCAGATGTATTCGGTCTCTGTAATCTTTCATATTCCTTTCTACCATTATCCATTCTGTTGCACTCTTATACTTGTCAGACTGTATTCATTCTCTTCACTCATCTTCTTGTCTACCTCTGTGTGCTGTTTGGAACGTGGCAACTCGAACTGCTGCACTTCGGTGGCAAGTTCTATGTTGAATCCAGACAGACAGACATATAAAAATCTTAACTAATGACGGTGATTTTGTGGATGAAATAATAATAATAATGTGGTAAATGTTTTCAACGTAGTTAATGACGATGATTATAGTGATAACAAAATATTGATAATAAGGTTTATGCAGGTGGCGATAAGAATAACAAATGTAGTGAGTGATATGTGTATATGTAGACAATTCAATAAATTAGGTCAAATCTTAAGGGTTATGCAATACTAAACAAAGATGAAGTGGACAGATAATCAGAGTTTAAATAAATATCATAAAAATACGAAGGAGATGGAAAATAAGAAAGGGGGGGTGAATAGAATTCACCTAGGCCAAGTGAAAGGCAAAGGTAGAACAAACTTATTTTGTTGTATGCAAAGACTAGGAATTTTCTCTCGAATTAATTCCCATAGCTTCGGCTATGTGTAAAAGGCAGGTTCGAATTCTGTCCGAAAGGTTCAATGGAATACGATAGATAACTTTGAAGGCACTAATTTTGTCCACTTGATGACCGCTATCATCAATCAAATGAGTCAAAATAGAACTTCTTATAGACTTTATTTGACCTTTTCCGAACCATGAGTGAAGGAAGATGCTCATTAATGCGTTTTTTGAGCTGTCTAGTTGTTCGCCCTGTATGGCTGTCTCCACAGGAGCAACTAAATTTATTATTTATTGAAACGCATAAAAGCTTGGTACAATATGGCACCAAGAAGGATGCACCACACAATATTTACAAAACAACATAGATCAAAAGAAAAAAAGAAGAGAAATATATATATATAAGCAGAGAACGGATAAAGAACTTCATCTGGAAGGAAAACAGTCATGCTTAACAAGTTCAAACAGTATTCGTTAACTATCATCGGGAAGGGAAAAAAGAAGGAAATTGCAACACGTGTAATAGCACGCGATAAGTTTCATTGATTGTTTGTTGCTTCATTCAATTCATTGTTTGAGAGCTGAGATACTGCCCGAGTGCCCAGACCAAAGCAGGTAGTTTTCTTAAGGGACCACACCCCGAACCTTTGACTTGGAGTCTAATCCGCAAGGCAGCGGAGAAGCGTCAGGAGCTGCATTCCCATGGTTCCCGGTGACCCATATGGGTTCATAGGCCATTTGATCTGATTGGATACTGGAGCCCATGTACCCCATGGTAACTGCTTTTAGTTTAACCGCTATCCAAACAACCTTCCTGACATGGTAGGACCTGCAGGGACAGGTCCCAGTCAGTTTAGCATATTGGGTCATTACGGTATTCAAGCCCGACCACCACGACAAGGTAGCAGTTATCGGCCGGGAACTAAATTTATAGATACACATAGAAGTGGCACAGCAATCATTATTATTATTATTATTACTATTATTTGATCCACAAAATCACCGTCATTGGTTAAAAAATTTTTATATATAAATCTACGTATATTAGAGTAAAGCCTGATGAAGATCTATTTGATAAAATGCCAATATATATATATATATATATATATATATATATATATATATATACCATACAATACAATTGAATTACCTTGTCCAGGTGATGTTTTCGAATATTCCATACAATAGGCGAACAACGAAGCACCTTTACTATTTCGAACTGATGTAATCAGTTGACAATTTGGCAGTTGATAAACACTCATACGACCTTCAGCAAGTGCTAATAAAATGCCGAATTCAGAGATAGCAGCCAGCTGGGTAATAGGCTTTTTGCCAAGAGTACGTGTAGTTTTTACATGTGTAAAAAATGAAGGAAGATTACCAGAAGGCGATGATGGTGGTGATGATGATGATGGTGAAGACGTTTCATTCTGGAATGGTATTTCTTTCAGCTGAGGACTTAAACAACTCAGATTTGGAATGAAAAATTCAGGATGTGCAGTGAGCTTCGGAGTCAATTCATACACTAACAATAAGCCTTGTTTTGTGCCAACTAGGAGAAAATTCTCATAGCATGTTAAACACTCCAGTGGATATGGATAGTCGTTTAATAAACGTATCGGTAAAAATGCAGAGTAGACCATGTTTTCATCTGAAATAATAATACACAGAGAAATATGCGATGAGAAATAACGTCGGAAATGAATTAAAATATTTTTTAATAAAATGTAATTATTGTAGAAGATAGAAAAAAGGACGAAAAAAGAAACCCTGAGTTCACAGTTCAGTTGAATGGTATAATAAGGTGAGTAATATTGAGGTTAGCCATTGGTGGTGATCGAGTGCTAGGTAGGTAAGGAGGGGAAATCCATCGATGAGGTGGTTGTGAAGTCCTGTTACAGGACTGGACTACATCGACGCCTAGTTTAAAAATAGGAAGTGAAGAGGTAGAGCATGTTGACCGATTCACTTATTTGGGAAGTACCATCAGCCAGTGACAACGGGTTGATCTCTGACGAAATCTCAGCACGAATACAGGGGGCTCGTTTCGCATTTACCAATTTACGCCGACTCTGGCGTAGACGAGATGTTCGACTATCGACCAAAGGGCGGGTGTACTGCTCATCAGTCCGCTCCGTCCTCCTTTATGGTTGTGAGACCTGGTCACTGAGAGTGAAAGACATGAAAAGACTAGCTGTCTTTGATGATAGGTGCCTGCGCTCTATTTCCCGTGTAAAGTGGCATAATAAGGTGAGCAACATGGAGGTTAGGCATCGAGTTCTAGGTAAACAGGGGAAATCAATCGACGAAGTCGTGAAGTTACAAAGACTGAGATGGTTAGGACATGTGTTACGTATGCCAAGCCATCGCCTTCCTCGACGAGCAATGTCAGTTGACATAGGGTCAGGCTGGAAAAGAACTAGCGGTGGTCAAACCAAAACATGGCATCAGTCAATGAAATCCACAACAGTTAGTCTAAGCCACGTAGGAAGGTGTAGATTTCCAGGCTGGGGTCCTCGGGACGGTAAAAATCAATGGTTGGAAACAATTGGTGACATGGCTCAAAATCGTTCTCAGTGGCGCAGATGCATCCATTCCTTGTGACTTATGATCTCCAATGAAACTGTTTTGTATTTCTTTATTACTCCTTTGTCTCACACCTCTGCTCACTGTTTCTATTATGCTTTTCTTGTACTTTCTTCTCTTGCTTCGCGTGCTACACGGAGTGTGGCGACTCGAACTTCCGCACATTTGTGCAATGTTCTATGTCGAAAACAGACACAGACAGGTTGTGAAGTTACACAGATTGAGTTGGCTAGAACATGTGGTGCACATTGATCGCCTTTCTCGACCGACAGGCAATGTTAGCTGACATGGGATGGA